TGATTTGGTGACCCTGGTTGACATCATTTAAAGCATTTTGTTATGTTTTGGTTTCTTTTTAGGGTGGTGGGGATATACAAACATTAATGTTTAATCAGTCAGACAACTGTAAGACCATTTAAAGCATTTTTTTATCGTTTCATTCGTCTTACCCACTTGAACTATCGGGTCATGTTCTTGTATGTGCTAACGTGACGCTACCAAAATTGGAACATTTCTTAAAAGGAAACCATGAAAAATGTCTACCGAGTGTGTGAACATTCTCTTTAACCTCACTTATCTATCAGAAATCTCAGCAATTTTTCTCATTGTCTAAAAACATGATAAAATATTTCATTCGTAAAATTCTAAATAGAGATGATAAGCAAAAAAGAAGAAACTTGCGGATAAAAATGTCATATCAATTCATAAATACTTTAGTTTTTTGTTTAGAACTATTGATATTTACTTGTATTGCAAAATAAAAAAAATGAAAATACCTACCTTGAAAGAATTAAGGATCCATTCTTAAACAAACAGGTCCATGTGGAGACAACAGATCCTCTAAATGACAGATCATAGTTTTGCATGCTGCTGCTATTAAAGTTTATAGTTGTTCGTCCTAGTGAGTCTTTCCATGGTCCTCCTCCCCAAGGATATGTACACGAGGAAAATATTGAGCCTGAAAGTTCAACAGCGTATGAGTACTAAAACCAAGTATTAAAATATACATAGATATCTCATTCGTAGAGCGACAAGAAGAAAATATTTCTATCCTTTTTTCCATTATTGGATGCAAATTCAGCTCAGTCTTGTAACTTTAGAACGCCAGCTTTATTGTGTTTCTCTTTTGCATGTCATAACTATTCCCCATTAACATCAAATACCATCAATGAAATTATTCCGCTCTGATGTCCCACTCGTTTCACTCTCTCGGTATCAGACCTAAATTACAGGTAGCGCAAAACAAAGTAATAAATTTATTTTGAATGTCAAAATAGGTACAGTATAAGATGCAGTGATTGTTTTTCGTACAAACATGTTAATTAAACATTAATTATAGGGTTAGTCTCATCAGACTAAATGATAGTTTTAATGTTTTCCTTGAAAAGGCTCCAAACTATGTGTTTAATTCTTTTCTACAAAATACTCGATCTTCTGCATATAATTTCAGTCTCCCATCAGTACAAGGTAAAGATTCTTCAACATTCTACTTTACTGGCGCAAAAATTAGAATTCTCTTCCAGATGATATTAAAAGTATATCAAACAAGCTTAAGTTCAAAACCCAAATGAAACGTCACTTTCAAAACAAAATGCAAGAGAATCATGCTAGTTATTATGATATTATTGAGGAAAATACATTTGTAAATCCATTTTAAGGACCCCAATGAAAATAAGCGTTTTAACGGGGTTTTTTTTTGGGGGGGGGGGATCCTAGGATATATGTATTTTTGTCTTTATTAATAATCATAACTAGCTGATACATTAAAGATATAGCTAACAACTTATTCCTAATTATGTATAACATGTTATATGTGCTATATATCCATATGTTTTGTATACAAATCTGTACATATTTATCCTGAATAAATTTATTATCATTATATTACACTTAAGTTTATATCCTACAGCAACACTCTATACTTTGGTTAGTATCCTACAGCGACACCTACACTTTGGTTGGTATCCTACAGTTACACCTACACTTTGGTTGGTATCCTACAGCGACACCTACACTTTGGTTGGTGTCCTACAGCGACACCCTATACTTTGGTTGGTATCCTACAGCGACACCTACACTTAAATTAATATCCTACAGCGACACCTACACTTAAACTAATATCCTACAGTTACACCTATACTTTGGTTGATATTCTACAGCGACACCTACACTTAGGTTGATATCCTACAGCGACACCTACACTTAGGGTGATATCCTACAGGTATCTTACAGTTACACCAACACTTTGGTTGGTATCCTACAGCGACACCTACACTTAGGTTAACATCATACAGCGACACCCACACTATGATTTGCTTCCTCTGTAATTCTGTGTCGTTTTGAATATTACTTTATGTAGATATTGGTGTTGTTGTTGTTGTTGTTGTTGTTGTTGTTGTTGTTGTTGTTGTTGTTAATGATGATGATGACGATGATGATCTACCACGTTGGCCTTAATGTGTTGTATTTAGTGAATTACAATCACTTAAATAAACGCGGTTTTGTAAACGATCACATATATCATTTTTTAACTTGTGGATTCAACGACTTGACCAGATACAGTAGCGGTATATGTAACGTTACTCAAAATGTTAGACACAAGTCAGCAAGGATATTGATGATACGTACCAAAGCAAGCAATGAAGATGATACCAATATAACAGATCCTCGTCTTTATCATCGTTCAAATGGAAGTTTTATATGCTTGTTAAAAACCTTGATATGTAATAAAACGTCTCCGAATTTTCCTCTCCTTAATCCACTTGCGTGTTTATACAATCTTGTACGCCAGAGCACACAATTCAGAATACAAATAAAATGTGCCCTCGATTTTTATCAATCCACTTTGGTGTGCAACTATCATATGGAAATGAAGATTTCAGGTTACAGGTTTCCTTGTCTAAAGTAGCCTCTTTTGAGTGTGTACTTCTTCTTGTCACAACATTAAGTTTAAATCCACATAGACTGTCTGTGATTTTTCTCTGCTGTTATCGATGAACTTGGTTGTGAACTCCACCACGCCAAAATGCACAATAAGAAGTCAAAAACTTGTTAATGTTTTCTCAGGTATATATTATGTGTTTGGTTATTCATTACACTCTGAATTATTCAACGATGAGAGACATTTTGAATTAAGATGTTCAAAAACATTAATTTGTAAATTAGAATATAACTTTGTAACTTCCCCGACGATGTTGGCACTAGAAACATATTAGAATACTATCGGTATTGTACGTGTTTAGATAAAAAAAAAAAAAACCCACTCGAATCGATAGCATTTTAAGGTTGTGAATTTCTCGATTGAAAACATCCCGGTTTAGAAAACATCTGTGACGTCAACATTCGTGATGTGTTTCAACGATATATGTATATGTTACTTATATGTCACTTTATTGGCCTATTTTAAGAGACACGTTTAATTTGCTTCAATCTGTTTAGAAAGAAATAACGTTTTGACATATCTCAGAACCGATTAGCGCTAGTAAACACAAACAAAATTTGATCTCGGCTATTGAAGGAAAGAAGGGAAAAAAAACTATTGTTGACGTGCCTAAAAAACTTCTATTTCAATTTAATAAAAATGATTCCAACGCAGATGTCGCGTAATTTATTCCGAAGAAAGGATTACGTCCAGACATGCTGTTGCTATAATGTTTGCCAATAGAATAAACGAATTGCTTGCTTGGTGTGGTGGTTGATATATACCTGTGTGTGATTTGTAGATGTTCAGTCCCTGTAGACATATTTATCTCTCGATAAAATAGATGTATTTTGAATACAGGGATAAACAAAGTCTTGTTAGCTTCAGGGCACATTTAAAAAAAACAAAATATAACATAATATAAAATAAGTTTTAAAAAAATGATAATGATAATAGAATGAAATTAGATAAATATGTAAAAAAAAAAAAAGAAAAAAGTAAACGGAAGCAAAGGTGTAAAAATCGAACTGAAATTATCGATATTTGGTTTCATTTTAATTTCAATTAATTTTGTTTTGCTAAAGTGTTACATATATATTCTCAAAACTGTGATAAGAACGGTTTTTTTTTAAAATAAAAATCTGAATTTCAAACTTATCAAACGAATCCGTGAACGCTACATCCGATATAGTTGTTTTTTTAAAGGTTGTTCGAATTGCTTAAGTAAAGACGAAATCTTTCTTACAAAATCATGTTGAATCTTTTTTAATTTACGAAAACAGATAAAACAATTTTCTGACTATATCAAAGCTTTCAATACTTTAACGTCGGATATTAATGTGTATACAGTCAATGAGACCCTAGTAAAATACCACAGTGGGATTAACTGTGATTGATGAAGTGAAGACAGCAACATAATACACAATCTGAAATGGATTTGATCATGTGAGAGGTTAAAACTCACTTTAAAACGAGGAAGTGAAATGTAGGATCATGGACTGCATCTATCTTCTTGTCAGAAAAAAATCAACACATTATGTTGGTTGCAGAAATTGTTATTGCTATCATTTCAAAAAAAAGTTTCATCATTTCTGTAGTTCGTCTCCCATCGCATGCAATAACATCAATTACTGAATAAAAGAATAGATATAGATAGCGATTATAGAATAGAAAGTGTAATTACGCTTTGTTTCATTGCTATATTTACATCATTACTATTCCTACCGAAAAAACCAAAAACAAAAACGCAACACTATGAGTGTAACAAATTTTTTTGAAATTAATTACTATCAGTAAGTTATTAAATAATGTCAAAATATTGTAACTAAAACTGGATATTTAATGTACTAATATATGATTATTCTTTGATTAAGAGTTTCTAAACGTATCTAAAAATTATTTTAAAAAATTATAAATTTTATACAATTTTTAAAATGTGAAAGTTGGAAATGATCGATTTAAGAGCTCTGATATTAACACATTATCATGATCAACATGTATATTTATCGTTGGATTTCTGGTTTATACCTCGGTCACGTGAGAGTAGCACGATATATGTATTTGTTTTAAGTATTATGTATCAAATATATCATCATATAGAAAATGACGTCTGTAGATTTCTAATTTTGAGAATACATAAGGCTGAGCAAGAGGAGGGAGGACGAGTGTATCTTTTAAAACGTGTGAAACTAAATATAGATAATAAATTACTAAATTCATAAATTAAGAAAAGAAAAAGAAATGAAAAAACTTTTTTCTCGATCTGTTTTATTACAATAATTGACATCAATAAATATGATATTCATCAGCCTTTTCCGCAAAGGTAAAGCCCTGAATAGCCAGAGAACAACGTGCTACAGGTGTTTATCTTATCACATCATACCTGTATTTCTCCAAAACTAGACTGTATAGAACCTGTTCTAGACGCACGTTGCTTTCCGTGCGTAGATTTATGACTGTTATTGTCTGCTTGGGGAACAAAGTTCCGGATTAAAACAATAGAACCCATTACCACAATAGATGCAGGAACACCGAATATGATAGAAAATATCGTTGAATTATCATCGGCTTCAGTGAAACATTTCGAAAATTTTGCTCGAGGATTCTGGATATCAGTTGTTATTATACTCGATGAACCTAAAACAGAAGTCATATTTATTCTATAATAATGATAATAATAATAAATAATAATGATAATGATAATTATCTTATAAATTATATATCATATCTATATAAATTAATAAATATCTTTAATATAACATGACAAATAAAACCTCAAATGCCATTTATATAATAATAAAAAATTATTATTATTATCCCAGTATAATCCAAATATAATGATAATTATTATTATTATCCCAGTATAATCCCAGTATAATGATAATTATCCCCTTATAATCCCAGTATAATGATAATAATTATTATCCCAGTATAATCCCAGTATAATGATAATAATTATTATTATTCCAGTATAATCCCAGTATAATGATAATTATTATTATTCCAGTATAATCCCAGTATAATGATAATTATTATAATCCCAGTATAATGATAATCATTATTATTATTATCCAAGTATAATCCCAGTATAATCCCAGTGATAATAGTAATTATTATTATCCCAGTATAATCCCAGTATAATGATAATTATTATTATTATTATCCCAGTATAATCCCAGTATAATGATAATTATTATTATTATTATCCCAGTATAATCCCAGTATAATGATAATAATTATTATTATTATCCAAGTATAATCCCAGTATAATGATAGTATAATCCCAGTATAATGATAGTATAATCCCAGTGATAATAGTAATTATTATTATCCCAGTATAATCCCAGTATAATGATAATAATTATTATTATTATTGATAATTATCCAAGTATAATCCCAGTATAATCCCAGTGATTATTAATTATTATTATCCCAGTATAATCCCAGTATAATGATAATTATTAATTATTATTATCCCAGTATAATCCCAGTATAATGATAATTATTAATTATTATTATCCCAGTATAATCCCAGTGATAATAGTGATAATAGTAATTATTAATTATTATTATCCCAGTATAATCCCAGTATAATGATAATTATTAATTATCATTATCCCAGTATAATCCCAGTATAATCCCAGTATAATGATAATTATTATTATTATCCCAGTATAATGATGATAATTATCATATTTTATCAGCATATTTTTGCAATATTGAATTTTCTTAAGAAGATTGTTTTGCTTTAGATAAAGGAGATCTTACTTAGAATTTATAATATGTAATTTTAATAACTTACCTGGTTTAGATAATACTTTATATTCATCCACACTGGGTATATCATATATAGGACAGCAACACTCATCAACCGTGGCTTCAGCATTAACTGAGAAATGAACCCTTTCTTCCGTATGGTCTTCTTGTTTTTCTGTGGTTAATGAAGGAATGAATGCCCTTATAAAATGTCATCTTAATGAAAACATATCTAAGAAATTTACTTTGTATCTACACGAAATATTTGATTATAATATTTTCCTTCGTGTCGAATTATTATTTCAATTACTTTATTACAACATTCTTTTATCAGATGGGAAACGTTCAAAATAGTTTGTATAGCGATAATTCTGCTCATTAACTTCTTAAATGTTAATTTTCTTTTTGTGTAGGGAAAGGCGAGGTGATGACATGGAGTGCGCTCGGACGCTGGGTCTTTATCGTTAGTTTGCGTCAGGAATATAGCAATGGAGAGCGGTGCATTAGAGTTGATTGATTTTAGGATGAATTCTTTTCCTGTGTGCTTACACTTTGGATGGATATCTCAAACATAACACGTGACTAAAATAATATATTTGTTGTTATTAGTGTTATTTTATTTTGCAAAAGAGAAAAGAATGTAAACAGCGGTAGGTAATTAATACAACAAAAATTGTAAACAAGATTTCTCAAGTTGATGTAAAGCCTAAAACTTACCTGACCAAAGTTGATAATATACATGGTCGGCATCTATGTATGTAACTGCTATACATAGATAGCCGTACTGAAGCTGTCCATCTACATTAAACCGCTGGTCAGATCTACAAAGATTATACAGCAGACACATAAATAACATATCTAGAGTTAGATACAGTAGAACTAAACAATGGATTAAACTGTATTATACAACTGCTTCGTGCTTCTAGGACTTGTCAGTGATGCCAGGGGCCTAAGTGTTCAAAAGCTAGATGACAAAGTTAAGTTTTTTAAAACTGTTGTAAAAAAAGAACATAAGATGATCGCATAACATACGCATGGAAGATACTAATAAAACTCCGGACGAAGCAGACATAATAATTATATATACAATGTGTGTCATATATTCAGGGTAAGGAACATTCTGTACAACTTACAGACATCATAATTATATATATGATATATACCTAAGGTTAAGAAAAATTTGGTACAAGTTATGTAAATGAAAATCATATATGTTATATCTTTAAAAAATGAAAAAAAAAATTATATAAAATTAATTTAAATCTGAAGGTAACTGGTTATCTTAGGTTCTAACGCTTATATGTTTCTTTATTGTTTTGTCACAATATCGATGAGAAATTGTGGTTCGTCATATTGTAGAACGGAAATTATTTCAGTGTCAGGTTTCTGATATCTCTAATAACCATATGTTTACAAATTCACGATGTAGTGGAATTACTGGAAATGGAGTAATACTAATATTTCCGACCTTCATTGAAATCTTGAGCATCTGTAGAACAATAGTGACAGCTGTCCTTACCACGACCATGTGTTCGGAGATATCATTTTATGTATAATTTAATATCGCCTACTCACGATTTTTTAGTTAAAGAAGAATACTTCACATAATTAAAACACGGGATCATATGAGAAATGTCTGCATTCTACCCTACTGTTTACATTTGAGGCGCGGTCAGTCACAGTAACACTCTGACTCCACAAGTATCTCTTAACCGGTCACCTCATTAATTTTCTCATTCATGTAACGAGAAATTTCGACTGCCTTAAAACAGGTATCGGGACCTATTTGAGCGGCGCGATCTGGGTGGTAGTGCTATTTTGATTATGACGTAACAGAAATTAACAAAAAACAAAGTCATGGCCAAAACCCTTTGATATATATCTATATTATTATATATATTTAAATAAAAATGAACAAGGATTAATATGTAGATAATTGTTTACAGTTCTGCTTGTTTTGAGTCTTGACCGTTGTGTTCAAAAGACACAGTTGAAATTATTTACCTGAATAGTATTACGTCGGGTTCCTCCACAACAAATGTCCAATTGGATTGAACCTGATTGTCAATGGTAATAAGCATACCAGTTGTCCGAGTCGATGTAAATCGTACTGTTTGACCCGCCTGGACCCAAGGACTACCGTCCATCAGTGATAATATTAAAGGAGATGGGATGTCTGTAACATTGTAGAAAACATAGGTACAAGGTTTCAAAACAGGGAAATCTGAATTGTTCAATTCGTATATCAAGAATCAACCCACGTAACATATTTTTTACATTTGGACAAACACAATATAAGGTCGTAAACCAGAATACATACTGATTTTCATAGCTTTTATAAATACAAATACTTGTCTGTAACAAATCACAACTATATCAGTTATGACATGGAATATTTCTCTAGAATTTTGTTCATTCACTTACGACTAGTTGTTGCTTGTGCAGTTAGATGCATCGTAGTTGTCGGTTCCGTTGTGGTTGTGACTGATGTTGTAGTTGTAGTTGTAGTCGGCGATGTTGTTGTAGTGGGCGATGTAGTTGTAGTCGGCATTGTTGTTGTAGTGGGCGATGTAGTTGTAGTCGGCGTTGTAGTTGTAGTCGGTGTTGTTGTAGTCGGCGTTGTAGTTGTAGTCGGCGTTGTTGTTGTAGTGGGCGATGTAGTTGTAGTCGGCGTTGTTGTTGTAGTCGGCGTTGTTGTTGTAGTGGGCGATGTAGTTGTAGTCGGCGATGTAGTTGTAGTCGGCGTTGTAGTTGTGATCGGCGTTGTTGTAGGGTCACATGGATTTAGTGCAAACATTGGATTAGAAATAACGCTATTGTCCACTGACGTCCCTTAAAAAGAAAAAAAAATAGGTATTTAATAACTCTAGCCATATTTCAATTTCACGTACAAACATTGCAAATAATTGTTGTTTTTTTCAAATATACGTCAGTTAATATGATAGTTTGGAATTGCAAAATCGGGATTATACTATCAATTTTCTTGCAAAGGAGCCGACCAAATTGAATTTTCTTTTAACACATTTTGTAATCAAGCGTTCATTCCATGATAAACTCTTCGATCATCGTGTGACATCATAGACGGTTTTTAGTTATTTGCCAAGACAGTGTCCATATCATTAACATCACTACTAATAGCTCGTTAAAGGTATTTTGATGTAAACTTTGCCATATCACCGTGGACAATATATATCATAGGCTTAACATGACCTATATAGAAACATGGTGAATTTGAAAATATAGGCCAATGAATTTAGTATTTTCTGTGAGTAAGTATTACGAGAAACATAAAAAAATCCTGAAAGGAACGAATTGTGTATAATTTCATACAGAATGTCATACAAAAGTCAGAAAAAGTGATGCTAAAGTTGTTTTCATTTGAAAATATTTAACTACTTATTTAGATTTATGAAGATTTAGTTTGAAGGGGAAAACGCTTATCGTTCTGTCACATCTGATCCTATTTTCTGCCTAATTGTCATTATTCTCATAGAAATTGTGGCAGAAGTAAGGCATAACAAAAGACAAATTTCCTCTTACTATTTATAAGTCAGATTCTGTGCTTAGGCCTTATCTTTATCGAGTTTTATCAATTTCCAAGCTGTTTATAACACTGTAATGCCCTTTCTGATTGACATACATACCATCATCTGCCATGACAGTATATTCTGTAACCGTAAGTGAAATAGATGCCGGGTTCTGGGCACATATCGCGCATATGTCTGTCACTGATTCTGTAGTGAATTTGGCTGTGCCTCGAAATCCAACTGATGTCGCAGGTTTTAATACACTATTATCTATATCTGAAATGACGAAAAGAAAAAGTCTATGTCCTTGCTTTACTATACAGAATAATGCTATTCACTTACGTAAACGAAGGGGAAACCTACCTTACAAAAATGCATTAGGTGCAACATAACTAGATTTAGAGTGGCATATAACCCAATTTTACCTTTACATTGATAATGTGTTTCTCATGTTGGGTGGTTAGGATAAAAAAGGGGTGGGCGTTGAGATACAGACATTCAGCAAACGAATCAATTTATGAACGTGAACTGGATTTATACATAAGTAGTTATTAGATTTTATTGAGGAAAAATGCTTCAGATGCTATGCATTTTGATAGTCCTGCTGGAGGAAGCATTGTCAGGTCAGCGTTGAATTACATTATTGTCAAGGTATTGTTGCCTAACTTTTGAATGTCTGATTTTACCTGATAATGTTATATCAATCTTAATCATTTGTCATTATGGCTAACAAAGGATTGACATACAAGTAAATAACACCATTTTTTTTTTATAAATCAAGAATGAAAATAAATAATGAATTGAACAACATAATCTGCTATACCGTCCTGATAGTACTTGTCAGTGATGATATGGCCACTAAAGAATGTAAAGTAAATCTAAGTAGAAAGAAGAATCGATCCCATAACTCAACATATTTTGTAATTTTTAAATAAACGTATCATTCTTTCAGCACCTGAAACATAAACATATTGTTTATTATATGATTTTTGGAAGTACGTTAATTTTGAAATCGCAGTTGTGTATACTTACCTAACATTAGATGATAATAGAACTTGTTACTGGATACTGTACTGACCAACATACAAACATACAGGTAGTAATCAAATCCAGCCACGTTGATTGAGGAGGACCTGAACAGGAACAAATACCATAAGCAATTACTTTAACCCAATGGGACTTCGTCACTCATTTGTTTTCAATGAGGTTTAGCTGAGGTTTGGTAGCTTGGAAAACATTTTACTTCTTTTTTATACAGATTCCAAATCTTTTGGCTAATTAGAAAAGGCGTTGTTTGAGTATTTTAACAAATATAGTCCTAGTGACCCAGCATTTAGGTATTTTGTTTTTGCAGACTGAAATGGACAAAAATCTATATTACGTACAATGATTAGAGGCCTTTCCATTAGTCAGAATAGGTTGATTAAGTGACACACGTGACCTTATACTTGAGCTGAGTCAAGGACGTTTATATCTCAGTAAACTATAAGTGCAAAATCACGACCCCTTTGACCTTTCATATTCGCCATGGTAATATTTTTCATAAACTTTGGCGGGCTTGATTCCATTAACCTTCCAGACAATCATCAAAACTATCATTATGAAAAGAAATATGCAAATAATCTTTAATTGTTAAAATGAAAATAATAATAATAAGAAGAAATAAATGATTATGAGTCATTCAACTCATCGGACTGCAATAAGCAGACAGTATGTTGGATAAGAGAAAAGATTTCATCAACTATGGTTTATGAGTCTTAATATTAAATATTAATAGGGGCCAAACATTTGACAATCGCATAGGAGTTTCTGAAAATGCAAACAAAATTAATAATATTCATATATCGCGTTTACAATAATGCTTTAATCTAAATAATACTGTTTGACACGAGATCAAATAACTAGGATTTGTTTTTTTGTCGAAAATATTTAAACAATACCTAAACATCAAAACCCGAAGGAAAAAAAAAACTAAGATTGAGTTTGCGTTTTAAGGACGGGTTATCTGATATGAAAACGAATTTTTTTTATGGTGTTTTCCTGTTATCACTATCTAAAACAAAGTGTAAGAACAATAAAAAAAACGCACGCGAGTTAATATCACCTGTCAGTATAAATTCCAGATAAAATAGAGCAAAGCGAAATTAATTATTTAACCTGTATCATACCGCTGCTTCGTCCTTCCTGGACTCATCTATGGCTTTAAGGACCTAAATCGTTAAAATCCCTTAAGGCGAATGAGCACAATGAAAACTGATAAAAATGTATGGCAAAATAAAGATTGGAGGTGAAATTACCTCAAAGTTAACAAAAATATAGTAGATTTTATCCTTGTTTCTGACTTATTAATATTCTACAGTATTCAAAGTTGTATAAAATCGCTCGACATCAGATTTTCACGTATGTCCTAGTTACAACATCGAATAACGAACACGATGCAATAACATACATTTTAGGCAATGAACTACGTTACTATTTCCATTTAAGGTACCCTTTTCTTTTATCTATTTTCTTGTTTTTACATTATTCTAAAAGAATATTCATTGCAGTTCCAGAAAAAAGGAGTTCACCTTGAAAGAAACAAAGCCCCGCTATTATAAAGGCATGTCCATGAGGAGACAGCAGAACCTCTAAACGAGAGGTCATAACCTTCCATACTGCTACTACTGAAGCTAATTCCATTGCGTCCGTGTGAGTCTGTCCATGGTCCTCCTCCCCAAGGATATGTACATGAAGAATACACACGGCCTACATTAGAAAGACAATATATATTATATGACGTATATATATTTAGGGAGCCAGTATATATTGATCTTAAATAGAAATGCAAAATAAAAAACAGATACACCAGAAAGAAAATCTGTCTATAGGTACAGGGATAAAGCACCATTCAATCTTTTGCATGTGTAACAAATGTATTTTACTCGCATACATTAATAGATAAATCTAAAATATAAAATGATGGATAAAGTTAAAAATTTATAAATGTGATATTTCTTTAAAAAAAAAGTCACGAACATGCATGAAATAATTAAGTATCGGGATACTTGAATAATGGTTGTGGTGAAAATTATTCTGTGCAAATACATTCTTCATAAATAAATTACAATACTTAATAGGATGATGTTGATGTAATGAATTCGTTGATATTTTGGGAGTCTTTTCAGATTACATTTTTATACCACAGGAGGATTTTTTTTAAAAATTTACATAAGCTCTTTCATATGATAATTTTTCTGCATAATATTAGAAAACCTTTTATTGGATTTTCAGTTCTATGTCGCTTTCCTGACATAAAATATTGCATATTAATAAAAAAGAAGCGTTTTGCTTTTAAATTCATGAGTTATTATTATTCATGTAGTCTCGAAAGACATCAATTTATCTTCTTAAGATTGACTGTAATGACAATAAGCGTTAAGATATGAACATCATTTATAGCAAAATGGAACCATAGTTCAATAAAATGAAAACACCAAAAAATAACTTAAAATAAAATAAAATAAAATTTCATGTTTATAGATCTCTATATGTCGAAATTTAGTATGACTTTTTTCTTTTTTTCTTTTTTTTTTCTTTTTTTTTTGGGGGGGGGGGGGGGATTTGTTGCTCTTTGTTATTTTTTGTTTTTCTTTTTGTTTTTTATTTTGCATTATTATTATTTTTTTTTTTTTTTATTTTTTTTATTTTCCCCCTTAATGACAATTACGATTTCCCAGGAAAGCCATGTTTATGAAAACGTCATATAAAAATTAAGAAAATACTATTTATAGATTACTGTTATACTGTACATATTTTGGCTAATTTTATATATTATATGTTGTTGTGCGTGATTATGTTTCCAGATTGGTGATATCAAAAGGTTAATGTGATAAAATTAGTGACATGAATCCCCGTGTATCGGTTTCTCAATACATGTGCCGATTATGACTTTATAAATCTACACATACAGCAGTGATATGTGTGCTACATCCAATACTGGGTTTCAAAGCTAGAGAGACAATAGACAGAAAAGCTCAGAATCAAATGAAACCTTTGTCCATATCCAGATTCCGATTACTGCTATAAATTTCATATATAAACATACTGGGAAATCTTAAGTTTTCGTTAGGTTTTCTTTTCTTTGATTTCATTGTTACTCCCAATCCATGAATACTGATGTCCACCAGCTGTTAAGGTAGCATAAAGTATATTCATTGAGCAATGTTTGTCAACAATATCAAATGTCGACAAAATAGCGGTTTTTTGGAAAAGCACGGAAAGTAGTCCTCACGAAAACATATTATTTTACCAAAAGTAAGTGTATGCATATATTGTTGATATAATTTACGACAAAGTGGACATACCTGTGTAACATGTCAGCAGTAGGACATTGGTTACTATCAGTAGTATCTGCATGCCTGCAGTGTTAACACCCGAGTAAACCTCTCTGTGGATAATGCCACTATCCTCTTGTTCCAGGGCTACATATAAATAAGGATCTTAGTTTCATAAAGATATTTTGTCTTTATAAACTAATTTGTGATTGCTTGACCAACCAAATTTTGCTGAGGTGCAGGGTGAAACATGATGATTGCATCATTGGGGCTTTGAACCCAAAATGCTTTAGCAAACGTCTTCACCAGTGTAATCTGAATTTATGTCCTATCTTCTGACTCAGAATCAATACAGATGATTACATGAAAGTGACACAAACAATACTCGCCCTAGCAAACGTCAGACTTTGTGTAAATGCACAACCTCTGCCTTGGTAAATGTCGAATTCTCACTGAACCAGATCCGTCTTCAAAATTAGAGTTGGCGAGTATCGGTCGCAAGCAGTATTCCATATATTCTCCTCACCTGACACTTACTTATCTATTTTGTCCTCTGTCAAACAGTAAATGGAGGAAAACTTGCTTCATAAAGAGGCTTGGTGATTTCCTTGGCGGGTCACTGAAGAAGAAAAGGTTATCGTTGCCTCATATGAACACTGTCAACTCTTGCCGTGGTAAATTCCTTAGGTAATGACTGTAAAAGAGACCACGACAAGAAATTTACGAATTAGCAGGTGCAATATACAATTATATATATAATGGAGTTGGGATTATGTTACCGAACATTGTAAATGTGGCGGTTATACAACAGAGCGCCCCTCCAACCTTGACTTGCTTTAGGTTACAAATTAAAATCCCTGTTTAAACTTTCTTCTTTAGCATATTTTTAAAATTATCGACAAGCACGTTAAAGGCTATTTTTGTTGTTGTATCTATATCATGTATATCTGGGAGAAATGCGCACAAAATAGTATTTTAGAAATTTCTGTTTGGTTTAAACAAGACCATTTTTAGCTGAAAGCGATCAATTTTTAAAAAATTGCTTTTACCTAGTTGTTTTGATATTTTTTCTCTGATGAGATATTTAAGAATAGATAAGTATGAAAAGGCATTTTGTGCTCGACTTCGTTTCCTGTACTTGTAGTTATAAGGCTGACCTAAGTGATTTGTAAAGAAACGAAATATAATTTGAACAAGATTAGGAACAATCACATCTCAGCGATGCAGAAGATTTGTTGAGAATGATATTTTTAATGTCAATTAAGATGTCAAAATTTCGATTTATCAGTGGAAACAATTAATTTTTTCACTAACCATTTGGTAACTATTACTAAGCATTGGGCAACAGGGGTCTTTCATTTTTAAGTTTGTTCAGACACTTGGTTAATGGTAAAGATGGTCTGTTATAGCCAAAAGAATTATTTAATGGCGTGATAATAGTATCAAATGTACTTCCTGCTATTCTCGAACGAATTAAGGATACTTACCACATATATATTTATAAATCTATTTCTATTCACGAGGTAAAACGAAACAATTGATTGTCCCTGAGGATTACTCCTAAGAATAGGGATGTATATTAAGATCATAAACAAGCAATGGATGTCATTTTGGTCCCCATCTGGGTTTTGACACATATTTCAACCAATGTGATTTTACTCTGTCGCCTTCTAGGTTTCAATCGTTTAGGATTTTCACATCACTTACGAGTTCTAGAAGGACAGAAGGACGAAACAGATGCGCATTCTATAATGCATTTTAATTACTTGTTTGAGGCTATAATGTATATGATTCTGAGTATGTGTTGAAAAGTGTTC